AGGCTCACTTTCCTATGTGCAAGAAACGTCATCATTATACGTGACGGACAGCAGATCATGTACATTACATTGCTCTTGCTTCTGTTTGTTAGAAGTAATATTGGGGGGTGGAGAATTTTAAAAAAAAAAAAAAAAAAAAAAGGTGCCTACTCTAAAGTTGCCATAAGAAACACCCAGACACTGGTAAATGGTAATTGGTTTTACTATATTTAATGTACAAACTGGTGATATGTTTCAGAGTGTTGCGTTTAAATTTATGTGGTATCACAGTGCTCCTTTTGCTTATTCATGACCTCAGATAATCCTTTATACTGTTTCAAAGTAAAAGAAGATGTTAGGTAGAAGTATTGCATCTGTAGATATTGTGCATCAGCTTTCTCTAGGCTCTCAGCTGAAAAAAGATGCTACTGCTCTTTTTCAAGTGCATTTGTTCAGCGCAAATACCAGTTCTGCCCTTCCTTACGGTATCCAGTGTAGGATTTGAGTCATCCATGTCTTGCATAAACTCCCTGGTAGCTCTTGACTGTTGCTCTTATTTTTATACTGTTTTATAAAAAAAAAAAAAAAAAAGAAAAAAGTAGTATATGAAGTACATATAAAAGCAAAAATTTAAATTTTGTGAGATAGAGTGATGGAAAGTTCAAGGTGTGGGGGAAGGGGAGAGTGTTGTAAAAAGATTATGCCAGTTTGCATACCAGCTGGTTACTGGAAAAGGCAGGCTGACCTTTGGAACTGTTTGCTTTCATTGCTTTTTACTAAGTGCACAGTTTAATGATCTTCCATTTGGGATGAAACAATTATTAAGCATGTTTCTTCTAGCAGTGACTCTTACGGAAACTGCACATTTTAAAACATCTTCTTTCTTGTTCCCAGCAGCAGTATTTATAGCATTCAAACAAGGTTATTAACACTTCTGTGACTTAAAAAATTTCCCTAAAGTTGAGAGTACTCCCTGCATATGGAAGGGATATTTCTGTGCTGTGACTAACGTAAAGATGGTGTAGTTGCAAAAAAATAGAGTTCTATAGAGAAATGTATAGGAAATATATTATTTCATAATATTAAACCTGAGGTGGGACTTTTCCTCAAAAATTCAAATATCAAACATGTTGCTTGTCATTTTACCTTCTTAAAGCACAGCTCCTCTGCTTTTGAAGATCGCCAGATTTTAAAAATCCTAACTAGCCGGTGGAAATCTTTTGTCAGCCTTTCGGTATTGCGAGGCGTCCTAGCCAAAAGCAAACAAAAAAAAGTAACTCTGTTTATCACAGTGGTCATTCGTATGGTGTTGAACGTTGCATGTATTTTAGCACAATGGCATGAAGCTTCTTTGCTTTGTAAAGGCAAAAAAAGTCCAGCTGGAATTGTTCCTTGCGGTGGTGTGTTGCTTTACCAAGTGTTTGTCAGTCATTTCTTCGCTCTCCTTGCTGGAAGTGAGACCGGTTCCGACACATTGCTGGGGTGGTGCAAGGGATGTTAGATTTGTGCTGACTTTGTGGGTGTTTCTGAGACACTATTAACAAAGCTAGGAAAGGAAGAAAGGTTCTTTCAGGGGCTTCCAGGGAGCTCCCATCAGATGTTGGGGTAGATTGGAGACATATTCTAGCATTATATTATTGTAACCTGATAAGCTATTACCAGCCTGGTTCTTTGAAGGATGTGCAGTGTAGGCTATTATTTATGTACCAAGATGAAAATTTTTACATGGACTGGTTGTGTTATACATAATATTAAGTGCTGCCATTTTCTTTTTAGTGTCTGGAGCCAGGCAAACAATCCATTATGTATACATAAAATAGTTTGTGCTGCTTAACATTTGTCTACAAACAAATCACAGCTGATGCTTTATTCAAAATTCCTGACGAAGTAATGTCCGCAAATAATTTGCCGTCTGTTGTTTCTTCCTCTGCAGTCTTGGGGGTGTTGGAGCTATTTTATTCGGGCAGAAATACCACATTGTGTAAGGCCTGCCGTCAGCTTTAAGGTGCAAATGCTTGGGATGTGAATTCAGGGCTCGTTTTCTGTGAGTACTTTGCAATATGGTTATTGTTTTACATGTAAGTTGGACTTAAGACCCTGCTCTCCCAAATGCTGCAGAAGCACTGGGAAGACGTGCAGGCTTCTGAGCAAAGGTATTCCTCCAGATTCACTCTCACTAGACACTGGCTAATGAACATAACGACTGGATATTCAGCGGGGGAAAAAAAAAAGGGGACTAGTGACACATTATTATGTGCTGAAATAGGCACAAACAAATACTCTCCCTTTTCTCTTCAGTCCAGTGCTATTACCAAATGTATTAGCAAGCGTATCGGCAACGGCAGATGATGGTTTATTTTAAGTCCAGTGTAAGTAGCATTCTTTCCAAACAACCTTTTTCCTGCGTTTACCAGTTGGAAACCAGGTTGTCCCTCTGAAGCTGCCTATCATCCGAACCTTGGTTATTTTATGGGAGTGGAATACGAAAGCAAGTGATAAAGTCAGGAAGTTTATGTGTGAATGTGCACAATTGATACCGTTGGAGTATTTTAATTTGTGCGTGTTTGAAGAGGGCAACATTACTGTGTATTGCCATGTAAAACCCAATAAAGTCTGTGGAAAATGCCAAGTGTTTCTGGAAGCTGGTTCCTTTTTAATGTATCCTCTTTTTTTCCTTCTTATTTTCCTAGGAAGCTCGTTTTGTGCTATTTAAAAGACAAAGGAAGGAGAAGGGGCAAAATCGCACATTTTTTGTGGACTGATTAGTTTCTTTGTCGATAATGCTTGCAGAAAGACTCAGCTAACAGCTAAAAAATCAACTATCCCAAGTGGTTTTACTTATTTCTGGGATCCAGATTTGAACCATCTTGGGTTGTTTGGTATGGCGTGATTAGAAGGTGTTCCCCATTGCTCGGTGTGCGCTCCTCGGCGAGTCCTCGCAGGGTGCCGAAGGAAGGACCAGCTCTGGCCCTTCTCACCGTAAAGGGCAACCGTCTCTCTGGTCCCAGGTGTCGTTCCCGTCCCCGTGCCCTCGCAGCCCTCAGCAGTCATAGGAGCTGCACCTACTTTGCCAACAGGAGCTGAGCTTCCCCAAACTACATTTTGTTGCTGGGGTGCAGGTACAAATGATGATCAATTTTTTTTTTGCCCGGTGTAGCCCAGGTAATGGACCAGAGAATGCAGAACCCCTGTCTCGTGACGTTCATTTCTGTGGTTTTGTTCATCAGCTCAACATTTCAGTGGGAACACCGAGGATAAACACTTTGAAACCTAGAGTGTAATAAACTTTAGTTGTCTGTTTGTTTACAGTGATGAGGAAAAGATAGATGTGTATCGATCGAGAGCCTATGGAGATTAAACCCAGCTTTTTTTCTGTTCGCTTAAATTACATATATGCTTAGGAATGGAGAAGTAATACAGAATAACCTCTGGAATGACTCTTCTGATCCTCATCCACTAGCTATTGTTGCATCCTGGCTTTCCTTTTAGGAGAGAAGTTGCACTTACCCTACCTGCACGCTTTTTATACCTTGTACCGCTTTGTTGTTACGAATGTTTAGTGCATACTTTATGCTTCACCTCAGTATTTTGGCATTTTCATTTGCAACAAGAGCTTTTCCTACTGAGCCTCTTTATCCTCAGTTGGGAGGAAGAAGAGAGTGCTCTTTGAGGCAGCTAAGAAGCAAAACCTTCTGAGTTGCCAGTAGATTTCGAGCAAAGAGAGAGTATTAGGTGCTGGGGAACCCTTGAATAGAAAGGAAATTAGAGTTAGAGATAACAGGAGAAGCAGCAGCGTGCTCCCTGATCATAGCTGTGAGAAGGTCACGAAGGAATGCAGGTGGGCCCATGACACATTTGAAGACCTGTGGATGAAAAGACACGTAATATGTAGGACTTGATCTGTTTCTTAGAGAGAGGGACCCAAGGGCAGCAGTGGGACTGACCAGCCCGTGTACCTGAGAAGGTGTTTCCCTGGGGTGGCAGGAGCACATAAACATCTGTAGGCAGAAGGAGAGAGAGATCAAATGAAGATGTTTTGAGCAATGAGAGTAAAGAGGGCAGAGAAAGACAGATCCTCAACACTTTTTTCACTCATTCAGAATGAAGAGGAGGAGGAAGAGCAGCGTTCAGCAGGACAGAGCCTGTTTCTTGAGAATGGTGGTGAGATCCTGGGCTGATGAAGAGACCATAGTGGTGCATTTGGCACCAGCAATATCCAGAGCTGAACAGGGGTGGCTCCTGCTGCAGCGGTAACATATGTTCCAGCTTTCACAGCTAGGGAGACTGGATTTTTTAAGATTAGGAAGCTTGTTCATTTGTAGCTGTATTTGATAGTCGTGCGTGGTGGTGCATTGACTGTCCAAGCATCCCTGAGATAATCCAGTTAGAGGCAGCAACAGCGCAAGCTTCTCAGTTGAGCCAAAAGTCCAGCTGAGTCCGTGTGCATTACCATGGCACAACTAATGCCACTGACAGTAGCAGCAATTAATACTGGGACACAGGCAACGGCCCATCAAAAATGACCACCGCGTCATTTCAAGCACTCTGTAGAAGTCTTCGGGTTTGGATGCGAACCCTTCTCTGGGGGATTAAAAGAAAAAGGTTGTTTCATCTCCAGGAAACACCCAGTGCTGATAAAATGGCTTCTCCATAATAGTCCTAGAAAGGAGATCAAAGGAGATAAGATCAGACAGGAATGAGATAGCATCAGCTAAAGAAATGGTGCCAGAATTAACAATAAGGAAAACAAGCACAGATGAATTCAGTAGATGTGAAAGTTACTGGGCCTGTCGGGCTGGTTGCTGCTCGGTGAGCTGCGGAGGAGCACACCCAGGAGAAAGCCCGGCTGCCCCACGGCATGGCAGCCTGCTCACAGAGCTCAGCTCTGCCGCTACCGTGACCTTCATCTGGAAGGCGGCAGGTAACCATGTGCATGCTCAATAGGTCTGGCTGAGCCCAGCGCCTACAGAGCCTTTGCTGGAAAAGGAAGTGACTTCCCTGAGGTGGTCTGCACGTGGAAACGGCCTCCTCCCGCACGGAAAATGGGCCAGAGGGTCTCTCACCAGGAGAACAAGGCTGAAACTCTAGTCATCTGTGAAGTCTTCAGCCAAGGCGTGGTCCATGCATCTCAAAGGCTGAAGGACTGTCTTGGTTTCGTGGATCCTCAGAGCAAATTCCAGCCAGCCACAAACGTGCTGAGCGAGATCTTTTTGGTCAACTTCATCAGCTTCTGCGTGGAAAAGGGAGTGGAGGAACGTATCACAACCAGCAAAATGACCAAGCAGCAGTCCTCCCTGTTTGGGGTGGACTGGATCTGGACTCTGTCTGGAGCTGACAAGCAAATCCAACCTCAGATCGCTGTGCAGGCTTTCCAGCTGGCCGAGCTTTTCCGTAGCAAAGGCGGCCCCACTGGGGCGGTAGAGGACTGCTGCCGGGAAGCCGTGTTGGCAGACGAGTGCTTCCAAAACAGGAGCAGGTTTGAGAAGCTGGAGGCATTCTGGCGCCTGGTGGGACGGGACTGCCTGGGCTTGTTCATCGTGTTCGGTGTGCCAGGGAAGCCCAAGGACATCCGAGGAGTCATGCTAGACAGCATTGCCAAGGAGGAGCAAAAATGCTGCCTGTTGGGCAGGAATGCGCTACGGCAATTTGTCACTAGTACTGACAGCTTCCTGCCCACAAAAGACATGTTGGAAAAGTGCCTCTGCACAAAAAACGGGCCGAAGGAGGTGGGCAATGTGTACATAAACTTTCTGTAAACCACTAGTTAACAAACAGCAGTGGCTCTGCACGCCGGCACCAGAGGCTGCGTGGGGCTCAGCTCTGCCTCTCTCGCTTTTCTCCTTGCATGCTATTCCCTCCACCCCCTTATTTCCCACCCTCTCCTCCACCCATCGCATTCCCTTAGCTCCTGTGGAAGCCCGGCTGAGCCAGTCTCTCCAGGTTTTAAACAACAGGATGTACCTGCCAGAAAAATGTGTTTATATAAGGCACGTCATTTTTCCAGAACATTTTGTTCGCCAGACATTAAGTCTTGGCTGGAGCCGATGAAAGCTTTATCGCCCTGAGCCTTTGGGAGGTCGCATTAGACTTGACTCACAGCCTTTGTTTACTGTGTGGCGGTTTTTTTCTGTAATAGGAGGCTGAGGCTGTAATAAAGAAAATGCACTGGTGCTGGTCAGAAGATTTGCACTGAGTGTGAAGGACAATACCAGTGCTTAAAAACACTGGTTTGGAGGCATGAGCTAGTTCACAACTAAGAGGAAAAGCCCTTTCCTGCCATAGAAAAGGGGCTGTATGACAGGCCTATTAATTACCTACCTGTCAAAAGTAGATCAGTGCCAGGCTACAGAGGGCCGCGGAGCTGTGGCCGAAATGAAGGGGCAGGCTTGGTCCTGGCGGCAAAGCCTGTTCTCGCTGAGCTGCTGCGATCAGGTCAAGGTGTGGCCGAAAGCAGTGGTAGGCGTTAAAGAAAACTTGGGGAGATCAACCAATGCGGACAAAAACCTGGCCCATGTTGGTGGGAGCTTCTGCTTTTCAGGGCAGCAGAGGCAGCTCCTGACCGCTCGTGGCAGAGAGCAAAAGTCTGGAGGAGGCAAAATTATTTCACTTTGACTTTGTTTTCAGTAGCTTAGCAGGTGATGGCATTGATGGACTGATGATTTATTCCATTTCTCTCAGCTTTTAATGGACAAAGAGTTGCACAATTGTAATTACTTTCAGCCACTGTTAAGCAGTGAAGGAAGATCTGATCAGTTTTCAAACTGGTAAACCCACTTTGTTTATAGCTGTATCTGAATAGTTTTGTTGGTGCAAAAACTCCTCTGTCTGTACTTTTCTTATAATTTCATTCATTTTATTTAACAGAATAAAATTTCAAAATCATCTCATTCATATTTTACTATTTACTATGTGAGTTATAAGATGGGGCAGCTGTGACAGCTGGGAAATAAAGGCTGTTATTTACACAGCCATTAAAAAAGGGCATAAAGAAGCTGCAGCATCAGTGCCAGAAGTTTTTGCAGCTTTGCAGCTTTCCATGGTGTAGACGGTGGAGGCTGAAAGGTGACCTGAAATAAAAACAAACCGAGAACTGTGAAATTTTTGCCAAGTCACAAACATAGCTGGGTATGGAGAAGGGAGGCCTTTTAGTTTTGAAATCGTTCATTGAGATACAGTTGTTTTTAAAGAGCTGGTGTCACTATTATTTTGTGCATGTAGCAGGGGGTTGGTGGGACAGAGGGGATAGTTCTGGTGTTTTACATGGAAAAAACAAACATGCATAGCTATGGGGATGCGTGCAGAGCATGAGGCCTCTGTGCCCATTCAGGAGGGTTGGGTCGGTGGGTGGGTTTGGTTTTGTGGGATTTTTTTTTTTTTTTTTTGGCCTGTTTAAAGTAACAGCATAACCGATACTGCAGCTGGATTGATTGGTTTATAAAAGGTCGGCAGAAAAGCTTTGAGTTTGCATTAGATTGGTATTTCACTTATAACTAAACTAAACTAAACTAGTGCATGCATGATCCTTACGTGATTCAGTTCTGTAGGATTGCTGTTTCTGAAAGCTGGTTGGACTTTTTCCTTTGGGTGTTTTGCATGCTTTTTCCAGAGTTGGAAAGGGAAAAAAAAATCAAAATGTCTTGTATATAGAGTTTGGACTATGGAAGTTACACATTGGGGCAGTTGCCCAGTTGGTTCATATCCTCCGAAGTGGCTCTGGTACCTCAGAGATATCACGCAGGCTTGGTGTTTATTCTGTGAGCCGGGTCCATCCCCCAGCCTGCGCCACACTCTTTGCCTGGTTGCCTTGAGGGTTTTAACTCAGGAGCCCGGGCCCTCAGCAACGGTGGGAACTGGCCAAGACTCTGTATTACAGGTAATAATGGCAAGACGCACAACAAAATATTTAACAATGTACATTTGACCATGTTCATTTATTCAGCCAAGCTGGAGTCTCAGCTCAGGTGACTTACAGCCATACCACAAGCTTCTGTAACTGCACATACTAATTTACCAGGTAAGGTGCTGACCTCAGACAGTTTAATCCCATGGTAATTTGTGTAATAAGGTTAGTAAAAGCAAAGTGAAGGGGTTGGGTTGTTCTGGGTGGTTTTTTTTTTCCTTTGGACAGCATTTGCTAACATCTAGTTTAGTATAATGTATAGTTTGTGTAGTTTATACTGTAGTTGAGCACAAGAGCTCATGGAAGCGTAGCTCAGTGAAGAAAGGCTATCAGAAGAGGAAACTTGCAGCACTGCTGCTGTTGGCTGGTTAGCTTAGCCAGGCCAGGCAGGTCTTCGTAACAAGAAAAAACAGCAGAACATCTCACTCCACCCTTTTTAAAGAAACTTTAATTTAAGAAGCATGATTATTTAATTTAAGCAGCATGATTAGCTGATCACAGGATACAGACATCCACCCTACGTGGGTGCACCAGGAGTTTCTGACTCAAGCAGAGATGACCTGGGCCCTTGGTGCCAGTGCTTTATTACTCCAGAAGGGCATCCAGCATAACCCCCCACCCCCCCTTCTGTTCCCCTGTTGCAGAAGCAGCAGCATGGCTGCTGTATGCTACATGGACACTGGCTGGCAGAGGCCTTCATCCACAGCTGTCCTATCCCTCAGCCACACAGTGACTCCTCTCCCACCCTTCCTCCCTGGGTGATCTGTCACCAATGCACCCCTACTTTCTCTTTCATCTCCCACACCCTGGGAGGATAAAACCTCCCCCTCCCTGCTGTACAGCCATTTCCCTTCTGCTGCTGCAAGGACTCTACGGTTAGCTCAGCACAGGATGCTGCTTGATAGCATCCACCGCAAGCAAACAGTTGCAGAGGTGATTCAGTTAGAAGCTAGGCACTTACTTGCAAGAATGTGCTGCAACTAGCTGCCTGCTAGTCCTAAGGCCCATTGCTGGGAGCCAGGCTCAGGCCAGACAGGGAGAACAGCCTGATTGCAGATGTCCTGTGACTGATGCATTGGGAGTGCTGCATGCCAACTGTGGTAGACTTGTTGAAAAACAGGATCCTATTCTGTTCATTCAAACAGCGGGGTGGGGTAGCAGGCAGGGCATGATCCCCAGAAGCACTAAGCAAATGTTACCTTGCTGTTCAAGCAAGGAAAAGTCACAGATCCCTGCTGCCCCAATCCCATTTTGCTGTTCCCCCACTCACAGCCGACCCATACATGTAAGAAGTTACAAACACAACAGAGAGCCTGGCTGCTGCACTGGCTTTTCGCAAGCAACACTCCTTTCCTTCCTGTTCACTTAGGCAGGATCAAGAGGAGAAAAGCTGAAGAACAATATGAGGCTCCTTTCTGTAAACCAAGTTATTTTTACCAGAAACTTTTGGAGGACACTATTAAACCCGAGGCAACATGTATTTCCTTACCTGTCATACAGTGCCTTGAAAGATTAAAGCAGACAGAGCCCCCTCCATCATACAGGCAGCTGGGAAGCCAGGACAGGTGAGGACTTGCTTAGGGCAAGTGGTCACTTCACCACATGCATCCCAGAGCCCAGAACCAAGAGCTGCTTGCAGCTTTGGCCCCTGTGGCTGTGACAGGGCTAACACCGGCACAGATGAGCAGACACAGAGCTAGGACTGCTGCGGCACCACAAGAAGCGCAGGCTCAAGACCCAGCTACAGGAGTGAGACTAAGGAACCGCTCATTTCTTACCTCCTCCTTCTCAGATCCTCTGTTGCAAACAGGAGCAGCACCCAGAGAAAGACCCCTGCCATATGCAAGCATGCCTTCGCTATTCGTGGGGGGATATCTGCCCTTGCACAGTGGTAAGCGAAGGGGACCCACCTCTGGTAAAGCCAAAGCAGCAGCCCTTTCAATCCTGTTTCTCTCGGGAAACTTCCCACAAAATGCCTTTCATGAAGGAGGTTTGCGTTTCCCCAGCTGCTTTGTAAGAGGGAGTTTAATAGTACTCAGCACATCCTGTCAGAAAAGTGGAGGAATACTCATATTTTCTGTAAGACAGATGAATTGGCTCAAAGGAAAAAATAATAAAAAAAAAATGTAAAACCAACTTTTATCACTGACTTGTTTAAATGCTATAGTACAGGACCATCAAGCAAAAGGGACTGTGACACAGTTTTGTTTCAGTAGATTATATAAAATCCCTCTTTTTATTTATTAATTGAGCCTCATGTTCACAAGGAAGATGTACAAAATGAAGGTACAAAGAGGAGATTGGAGTGATAGGGACAAAACCAGAGACAGTTTACTCCTTGACTCAACATCCAAATACAGCAGTTTTCACCAAAACTCAAACAAAAGAAAGATAAGCACTTGGATAAACAAATCTAACAGGCTTTTTTTTTTAACCTTCACTTTATAGTGTTTTACAATTATAGTTTGTCTCTTAGGAGGTTGAAGATGATGTGCTCAGTAACACACAGGTAATTCACCTGCAAGATACTTTATTTCTTACACAGATGTGAAAAAGCCAGTAACTGAATAAGCAGAGTAAGTAATACAAAATAGTTGCTGCATAACCAGCTCAAGTTGTTTTTTTTTTTTTAACATGAAAACTTCATTAAATACAATAATGAAAAAAATCTATGCGTATCCCACAGTGATATAAACCAGCAGCAAGATAATTTCTCATATTTCTGCTTTTTGCCTCCTAAAAAAGGGACTGAAACTTACTTGAGTATTATTTGAACTTTGGAGCATAGTATTAACAAGTTTCAGAAGCACACATCAAAAATGCAAGACTTCAGAGGCAAGCGTCTAATTAATAAAA